CTGGTTAATTTATGCATTGATAATTGATCATATGTTTTATCCTGGAGTATTATTTATTGGTGAACCTATACCCTAGAGCTTTTTATTATTGATTATTCCTTTGTTTAATTTGCTTAGCTTTAATTATTAGTTTAATTCCTTCAAATATAAATTGGTTACTCTATAATTTAGATTATAATAACTTATTAGGAATAAAAGAACATTGTTTCCCTGTGGATTCGACCCTACTTCCCTATCTACTTTAGTTAGAGGACTTAGGAATTACTTTTGATTAGGTGATACGACTAGATCCTGTCAGTTGCGGGTTTCAGACGGTGGTTCCGGCTGAGTCTGGTTATTCCGGCAGAAGAATAGGGAAAGGGGAAAAAAGAAAAAAAAATTCTAAAGTAGTTACGTGCTGTGCACGTGACTTTTTTTGGCCGAAATTTGGAAGTCAACGCCGGAGTTTGGTCAAAGGACCCTCCTTACCACCCAAAGTCCATAAAAGGATCTTTTGTGCCACCTTTTTCATAAAACGACCTTCCTCAAAAGGTTGATTCCTTAAAAGAACCTTCCTCGCAATTTTTCCTATAATATATGTAGTGATAAAGATTTCTATAATTTCAAGATTTCATGTGTAAAATAAATTTTCTGATTTTTATAAGGTTTTAAAATTGCTGGAATTTTGTAAGTTAAGGTGTTTAAATTATTAAGGTTTGTTGATAAGAACTTGTAATAATACTTCCATACCATTAACATAGAAGTTTGGGAAGCTTAAAAATTTCGTTTTAATGATGTTTAGAAGGTTTTTAAGTACATAAGTATTGCTGTAAATTTAATTGCTTGGGTATTGATTGAATTATTGTTGTTTGGTTTAGGAGAGGACTTTATAGAAGGTGATTTCTAGTTGGTAAAGTGGCCAACTAATTCGTTTACTCAAGATATGTACAATGATACGAAAAACCTTGACTTTAGGAGCATGTTTAAGGACTTGGAAAATTTAGAATCATGTTAGGGAACTTGTGGATTGGTTAAAATTGTATGGTAGTAAGCTTGATTGGTGATTAATATGATGATTGGTTTAATTCATGTATGAGAAATGCGTATTGATTTATCTTGTAAGTATTACTTATGCATTAACTTGCAAGATGAGCTAAGAGGCAAAGATACGTAATATGTGGAATGAATTATCTTATTACTCGTTCATGTTTATTGAAATGGAATGCGTAAAGGGAGAATTAAAGTCTTATAAGACGAGTTTTAAGGATTTGAGGTGCCTTATGCACTTAAGGTGTTTATACACCGAGGTAGTTAAACGATTCAATAATAAAATTTGTTTGTCACTAATAAATCAAGAATTGAATTGGAAATTTGAATTGCTTGAATGATTAATGTTTGATTGGTTGCATTGTTTTGCATTTGAGTCATCACCAAGTTTAAACTTGTAAATCACGTAAAGTGCAAGATGGATGAGCAATAAAACTCTGGATATGTGCACATCTAGAATATTGACAAACAGGGGTTGGGGTACACGGGGTATTAGCCGTGCACTTTTCTAGAGGTCGTCTGATTTACAAGTCTCTTGTTTTCAAATGCTTTTTAAAACTATAAGGATTTAGATGAGATATGATACTAGTTATGGCCACAGAGTCGCGCACATCTGCCATTGGATGTTTATTGATGTTTCCGAAAAGAGGCATGGGGTTTTTCTTTTAATGATGTTCCAAATTGGAGCATGGGGAGACAACCTTGTCCATTGCTTAATCCAATGAATAAAATGAAATGAATTATTTATTATTAAATAAGTAAAATCTCAGTGACGTTGATAGTTGATTTATGTGTTTGAGTTAGTAATTAAATTATGTGTGTTGTTTGATATTTAGAAGCATGCTAGGAATTTATTGTAATATTTTCGTAGCTTGTATGTACTCAGTGTTGCTGATGACGTGCTTTTGTGTGACTTTTCCTGGTCATGGTCTTCGCCTTTCAATGACCCTGTAATGATCCAATTTTTACACTTGTAATATTGGGGAGCAGATTAATCACAGGTATTTGCATAGTGGGACTTGCATCAAGTGATGAGAAATTGAGTGGAGAGTTGGTTCTTACTAGTGTTTTATTTCTTGCATAAACATTAAACTTTCTTAAATTCTGGTTTGATTTATTTGCTACTTTATTAATTGGGTTTTGAATAAAGGCCTTAATGGTTCCAACTTGTAAGACTTAATTTGATTTTAATGGTTGGTTTTGAAACTTTATTTTAATTGAGCTAATTTTCCGCTGCTAAATTCTGAATTAGCCTTAATGTTTGAACACGTGATGGTAGTACGTCAGTAATTCTCTTACATGTTGTTGAAGGTATTTACAGGTTTAATGGGAGAATTATTGGGGTGTTACAGAGAGCTTCTCTCTCTAGATTAGGGTTAGATTATGAGTAATTTTAGAGAGAGAGTGAGGAATTTCAATGGAGAATTTAGAAATTGAAGAATAAAGTGTGACAATTGCTTTGAAAATCTTCTCAATAATTCAATGAGTCTTTCTTACTCTATCTCATCTTTATTGTTTTCTTAATTACTTGTTTGATTTAGTTTTATTGATTGAAGCTTTGATTAGTTTAGTTTATCTTCATATTTGATTAATTCACGCTTTTAATTGCTTGTTTAGATGAATGTTGATGATTAGTGAGTAGATCTTCTTGCTAGGGTTTGGGTAAAGCATGGTTGATTGATTATTGAGATTGATTTGGGAAATTGAAAAGTTCTTGTATTGTATTTAAATTGATTGATAGAGTTTTACATGTGTTTAGTTTGATTAGGCTCTGATGACTAAACTAGATTGCAGTGTGAATCCTTTTGACATGGCCACTAGATTTAGAATTTGCAATTATTGATTGGTTTGTTTGGTGATTCTCTTAATTTGTCAATCTTAGAGGAAACCTAGTTTCATTATTAGGAGACAACTCTTCAATTCCTATTGATAGTTTCAACTATTTGTCTTTACATTGCATGAGTTACTTGATTCCCTAATTAGCATCACTATCATGAATGCATGTGGATCCCTATTCCCTAGTGTTTCATTTGATTGCTTAGTTTTAGTAGTTGATTAGCGTTAATATCCTTTTCCCATACCTTAGACTTCGACCTAGCTTAGGCATAGATTGAAAGCAATTAAGCATAACCGTTACTAGTGGTTCGACCCTTGACCTACCTCTATACTTGTATTTAGGTTTGTTAAATGATTATAAATTTGTTTGATCTTAGGGAGGATTAGTCAACGACCTAGTTTTCCCTACGTCAAAATGGCGTCGTTGCAAGGGAACGGTGTCTATGCTTGAGTATTTTTGATTGCTTGAGTCTGGGTCTTTGTTTATACTTTTCTTATATTTGATTTTTGTTTATTTTTTTAGAAATGGCAAGTAGCTCGTTCCTCAATTTGAAGATGATTCGTTTTGGGTGTACTTTAATAGGCAAGAGAACTTCATAAGTTGCCATGGTTGAACTTTATGAGGCTTGTGAGATTTGTTATCATGAGTTAAATGAGCAAACTAGAGACATTATTGAGAGTATGTTTAATGGTGAATTTCGAGCATTGTCAATTGATGATGCTTGGGATTTTTATGTGTGGTTTGCTAGGGATACTTATGATCATGGTCATGGTTATTCAAATTCTTCTATTGATAACTGTGATGGTCCATGTTCCATGTATGATGAATCTTGCATGTCTAATTATGCCCTACTCCCTATTTTGATGATGCCACTCATATCTCTAATGTTAATCCCCACATGCTTGCATATGATTCCTCTTCCCATGATGATCCTCAATGTTCTTCATCTTTTCAATCTTTGGAGCCTAGCTTTGAGTCTCTTTATAATCAAATTGGAATGAAAGAATTGGAAATGAATTCTAATTTGGAGTCATATGAGATAAGATGTTTGGAGATTATGAGAAGCCAAATGGAAATGATGAAAAAGATGGAAGCGAAAAATGAAGAAACTTGTAAGAAAAATGAGGAGATGAAAAGTCAATTGTCATCAATATTGAGTATAAAAGAAGTTTCTAAAACTTTTGTAGATATGGAAGATGATGATGATGATGATTGTTTTGAAAGCTCAAAAAGTATGTGAGGATGTTAGAGAGCATATGAGCGAGGAAAAGAGAGTAGAGATGGATGTTGCCCAAGAGAGTTTGCATTTTGAACCTCCTTCCCAATTTGAATTTTGTTCCATTGAGCTTTTAGATGGAGTTTAAGAGAAACTAAGAATGCTATCTTCACTTAATGTTGAGGAAATGGTTTCCAGTTATGAAGAATTGGTCATTGCAATTTTTGAAGCGTGAAGAAGATGTGAAGACCGAGAATGAAGTTATAGACAATCTCCTGCTCTAACGCCGGTGGCTTGAGCAGCACCACTTGTCTTGGGTCACCGACGAGCAGCTTAAAATTATATATAGTTGTATGATCCTACCCTTAGTGTTTTGTTTCTAACTCTTAAAATTTATATTCGTACTGTTTTCTATTTCTAACTTTACACACCTTTTTCTCCTTTTCTCCCAAATTTTTATTCATTCTTTTTATCTTGATATGCTTTTTTTTTTCTTTTTTTTTTTGTACAGTTGTTTATGACAATATATATTTAAATCATTTTAAGATTAAGACTTTGTTGTTGCTGGAAGAGGGGGGGGGGGTTGGGGGTAAGGAGGTAGAAGGCACTTCAACTAAAATCGAATTAACTAAAGAGCTTCTAACATACTCCTTCCGTTTTTAAATACTTGTTTCATTTCTACATGTGCGAAGTTTTAGAAAAAATTGGAGAAAGTAATGAAATATGGAGGTATTGGGGTAGGTGAAAGAATAAAAATTGTATAAAGCAAAAGTAGTTGAGATAATTGGAAAGAGAATATGAAATTAATAAAATATGTTAAGTCCACTAGTTGAGAGAAGTGAATTAAATATTGTAAAAGTTTTCCAAATAAAGAAATGGAGTAAGTATTTAAAAACGGCCAGAAATGAAAAGTGGAGCAAGTATTTAAAAACGTTAAGAGTATTACAATAGCACAAAATTTGCATATTCAAAATTGCTAAAGCAAATTAGCTTTTACATACATCTAGTTGCCACTACAAAGCAGATTTCTCAGTCATATCTTACATAATACAAGAAGAGTTTCCGAGACAATGAGATTGCTATGAAATTGCCACCCTTCTATGGACATATTATGGCAGTTGACTTCCACCTAAATACAAGCCTTAAACCACAGAAGAACTAAATACTCTAATTCTGTTAGCCTCAAAATTGTAGACTGAAAAATGACCTGATTCTAGTAACCTCAAAACTGTGAATTGCCAAGGAATGCAACCATACATCGAGCATTCTGAAACAATTTATCTACTCGCTGCCACACTGCACACTGAGTTTCTAACAGCTTTTGTGCTTTCTCCTGTAGTTGTGACTGACATCTCACTGTTTCCCCATGAATCTGCAAATAAAATTTCATGAAAACTTTCAAACCAAATCTACATCAACAAGCCTTTTATCTCCCATCACTATAGATGACAAGAAAACTGAAACAAACATATTGAAGTGTTGCTACTATTTTAAGGTTTTCTATTGGATTTCCCTGTAAATCAAAAAATTTAGGTTCTTCCTTCAAAACAAACTAGAACATCAAACGATGTTGCCATAAATATATACTTTTCTCTCTTTTTTTCGTAAAAATGATTAAAATAAAAAATTGTGGGGTTGGGGGTGTTGGGGATGCTTTGGCTATATCCATCAGCAAAAATAGGTTTATTGTCATCAAAAATAAGTTAAGTTCTACATTAATTATCTGCGGACAACAAGATGATCATGGCTATTTGCTCCAAATTACGTCAATATATTGCTGAAACATGTGTGTGAGTGTGGGGGTGGGGGGGAATACTTTGGCTCTGTTCTCAGCCTATTTAAACAACTTTCAGCAAAATTAAGTTAAATCAACATAAACAGCTGAGGACAACAGCTGAAGTGATCATGGCCATTACTACACACTACGTCGTCAATATATTGCTGAGACATTAGAAGTGCTAGTTGCTAAGGATTCACATATACGGTCCTCATAAATAACAGTATAACACATAGGATGCAAGGATAAATAAAATTAGCCAAGACAGGAACAAACCTTTAGAAACAATCTCACAACTGCCTGCACAAACTCAAAGTTGTTTCTGCAAGATATTTCGTAAATGAAGTAATCCAAAAGCATGTCAAGTGAGAGCATTTCTGGTCTTTTACTGAGCCCTGAGGACTCATCATCATCATCTATAATTTGAATCATCCGAAGCTCCATGTCCAAAGAAGATGGAGACAGACCTTTAATATAATCGGTGAATGCTGAAACTGCAAGAATATCCTGATTAGACGTCAAAGTCTTCCAAGGATATTAATAATTTGATTCTACCCAAGCACACTCACATAGATATGTAACTAGATATCTAGATATACTCTGCATGTCATGAAAGACATTTAGCAAAATAGCTAGACGGCTCGAATGAATTTTTAGTTTCCTTGTTAGACCAGGAATAAAATTGCACAAGATCCCCTTTTTTACTTCGTATATTTTTATTTTCTGGGTAACTATCTTTTTTACTTCCCATCTCAGCTTTTTAGCCTAAGAGAGGGGTTGTTGTATACAGGCACGACAATCAACTTAGACCAAAAAAAGAAACAAAATGCCTGGAAGTGGCCATCAATGCATTAAAAACTTCACTTTTATTTGAAGCTGGATCCATGCATCATATGAAGGCGTTAACTGCTAAATCTTGGGTGAAAACAGTACTGTACAATTTCTTTGTATTTGGAAAGAGCAGTTATAGACGATAAAATATTTTAAGGGTGTACTTTGTTTCCTCTCTTCCTCGGAGGTATAAAAGCAACCTTTGTACTGCAATAGGCCAATTAAAAGTATAAACTTACAATTTTTGGATTCTACTGCAGACTGAAGCACTTGCAAAAATGGCGATGCTAGTATATTAGTCATATAATCAGAATTTTTCTCAGCATCTCCATCCTTTAACTCTTCATTTGTCTCCTCACTAGGCTTAAACATTATGTCTCCTGAAAGAGATGGAACTGAAGGTAAAAAGAATGGTGCTTTTTCAGGCTTCTTAGGAGGTTCAATGGGCTTATTTCGAACCTGGAAATCGCAAATGATTTACATTAGCACAAGATACTAAGTAATCATATAATAAGCATCATGACAAATCAACATCTCTTTTAAGTATTTCCAGAATTATTTATTAGTAGTGTTAATCAGAAGGGAGAAAACGAACCTTTATAATGTCCAGATTGATCAGGCTTTGCCACTGGGTCTTAGGCAAGAGCGAAAGTGTAATCAAATCAGGAATTTTCTGATCGAATTGTATTATGCCAGTCTCTTTAACATGTAAATAGTCTGTATCTCTTTTCTCAAAATCAGTCACTTTATTTCCCTCAGCTGCACTAACAGATGGCAAATTGACGTGTCGAATGTCATTCCCACTAGCATAAGAATCAATACTAGATGAACCTGTGAACATTGCCTGATTCACCCTGTAACACACATAGAAAAATGTCACCAAAACAAATGATTGGCCATGACCTGCAATTGTTAATGCAAACTGTACAATAACATCCCCTGCTTTCCACAATGTTCTTAGTAGACCTTGCATTCCCATAGACCTTTTTTCGCAAATGCTTTTGTTAGAGCAAAGCTGGACAGTGTATGTAGAAAGAAAGTAGGAAGATTTCTTATATTATTTTGATATGTACAAGAGTACTTTATATAGGGGTGAGGGATGCCTTCTACATTATTGTGATGCAATGAAGAGTCACAACTTTTGGCATTTCAACTACTCCTAATAACTCAAGCACATTCAAGTTAATTCACTGATTGCTTCACTGACTGCTGAACAGTAAAAGTCTCATTTACTAACAGTTTTTAAGAAGCTTTTAGACTGAATTTGGCTTTTAGCTTTTAACTTTGTCAAACAACCAAAATAAATGATTTGTAAATGGCTTTTCAATTGGTTGAGAAAAAAATGGTAGCGCACACTGGAGCAGCACATTGGTCATACTACCTCCGCACTGTCAACGCACATGGACGCAGTAATCAGCTAACGGAGGTCTTTTGTCGCCAGAAATTCACACTCCAGCTATTTTCGACAATTCTCATAGAATTTTTTAGTGTTTAATTTCAATCAAATTAAACTCTGAGTTTTACATCTAAAATATCAAAGTGGGGAAAAAATTAGGGCTAATTTTTGACTGAAAATGTTCGAATTCAAGATGCAAGACAATGATCTCATTATTTCTGGTTGGTGTGCGGTGGGTGGGATGGTGGGTTTTGGGATTTCTACTGGGGTTTCGATTGAGTAAGAAGTGGGTTTTGGGATCTCGGTGGAGGTGTGGTGGGTGTAATTGGGGTTTCAAGTTGTTTCGGTGGTTAGGGTGGGGTACAAGTGGGCAACTAGAGGGTGGTGGGGTGGATGGGGGTGGTGATATGGTGGATTAGTAATCATCCCCGCTCTTTTTTCCACCTAGTAATCACACTCTATAATTTACTAATCAAGCCTTAATATCGGAGATTGTATTACTATTAACAGCTAAGCCGATAGCTATATTTTACTGAAGATCTTTAAAAGTTATTTCTAAGTCAATATCACAAGCTGATCAAACAGGCCAAGTAAACCAGTAAACAGTATAGCAAGGCCATAATTCTTCACAGTTAGTTTCATACGTGGATATATAAAAGGAAGCCATCTCCTCTTACCACAGGTAGACTCCATTTTGATCAACATGAGTAGTTGCTAGAACATCCATATTGGGTGACAAAGACAGTGCCGTGATAGCCACATCAACCCGAACTGCGTCTATTTGTCTAGCTAGAATAACATCCCAAATTCTAAGTGTTCCATCCATGCTAGACGATAAAAGCCATTTCCCATCCTCACTAAAGCACAAATCAGTAACACGGTCATTATGGCCTTCAAATTTCCGGACCATCCTTAGAGCCACAACATCATATATACGGATCACTAGATCATCAGCAACAGTAGCTAACAACCCTGAAAGAATTGGAATGCTGCAATCAAATTCAATGGAATACACGTAGAGGAATGAAAGACAAAAATAACAGTTAGTATAATTATCTAAAAGAAACAAATGTACACTTACCGTTGGGTCTATGATACACTATCTTCACCACGGGACATCCCACTTCCCATCTGGAGTTCAGCTCACGTCCCCTGAAATTCCATACCTGCAACACAATCCTTTAAGAAAATTTAAGCAGAACCCAAATCATCACAGTAGGAAGCAAGAAAATAGCATACGTATCATTTATGAAGAAAATCTTTCCGCATATCAATAGCCAACACAAATATGAAAAATGATGTGAAGTATGACAAATATGATCGAGGGGAACCTTTGAGGCAAATAGCTCTGTTTCAAGGATGCCTAACATTATACCATTGAATGATCATATTTTTAACACAAATTATACCATTGAATGATCATATTGTTAACACCTTTACATCTTTAAGCCATTTAATTATTAGGATTCCTTGTATGTTCCTCTTGTTTTCTCCATTATAGTAAAAAAAAGCTCTCAAATCCCCCGCTAAAGGAGTAGGTCTAGTTGACCGAACCACATAAATCTTGGTGTTCTTTGTTTATCTTCTTCACTGTTTTCTTGTTCTTATTAGTTCGTTCACTATTGTTCCACATCAATCAAAACATACGCCACCTATCTCTCGAAATTAATCATCATTCTTTTTCCCAATTGCCACATTAATTACCTTGTCTTTTTTCTTTCTTAATTTTTTTTTTTGTTTTGAAAAGTGAGATTATTTAATGTAAAATTTAGAATCACTATTATATATTTGTCTTATGGCAATCCTGTAGAAGGAGCACATTAAAAAGATGGAGGTTACGGAAATGCGCATGTTAAGGTGGATGTGCGGGAACACTCTAAGAGATAGGACTAAAAATGAGGTTATTTGCAAGAAAGTAGGTGTGGCAGGCATTGCAGACAAAATAAGGGAAAATCGCCTGCATTGGTTCGGGCATGTAAGACGGAGACCCGAGGGTACACCGGTTCGAAGAGTGGAAGAGTGGGACAGTGGAAGGGTTAAACGGGAGAAGGGAGACTGAAAATGACTTGGTTGGAAGGAGTTAGGAAGGATATGAAGTATATGGATTTGCATGAGGATGAAGCATTGGATCGTAAGGGATAGAGGAGAAAGATTTTTATGGATGACCACACGGAATAATCAAATTTGGTTCATGTAGCCGACCCCACTTATGGGATTAAGGCTTTAATTGATTGATATTATATATTTATCTCTCTCATAAAGATTCTATTTCCTTATTTACTTCCCGATTCTAAATAAGAAGAAATAGGATTGAAGAGAGCATAACTTTGGTCATATCCGGGATTAAATTATAATCAATAAATTTTGGCCATATATCGTTTTAATAGATCCATACGTCATGTAACCAGTACAGCCAGGAAAAAGGATACCTTAAGCCGAACATAGATTTATATTCTTATTCTCCATAGATTAAGCCCCATACATCACATGGGGTTTAAAGGCTAGCCATTCATAAACATGATGATCATATCACTTCTAAAGGCATCAAATTTCACTTCTAGACCATTGCCTATCACGGCCATTTTTTTGCAATTGAATCATTCAGTCTCCCTGACCCCTCTATAACAATTGTATCCAGATTCTGAATTCAATACGATTTTTTTTTATTTTATTTAATTTTTTTTAACTTAGATAGATAAGAAGATGATGTTAACTTTAATTACAAGGCCAGAACATGGGTGAACGCCTAGTATTGGAAGCTTAGAAACAGTTAAGATAACAAAACCAGTGCACAATATAAGGAATAAATCAGGCATAGAAATATGAGTTCTTAGAAAAACTCTACCAAAGAAATATGGTTGCTAATATCATGCATAGCCAACCACTATGAAAAGTTCTTCAGTTTTTTAAAAAGGAAAATTTTACAAACAAGGAATGACCAAAATTTATCAAATAGGACCAACCTTATCAGTTTCAGGTAAAGGTACTTTTTCGGCATAATCTGGTGCCTATTGGAAGTTATATAAAAAAACTACAATTGAAGAAGTATATATACCTTTATATCACCATGATATCCTGCACTTATCATCAATGTATTTGTTGAATCACAGGCTACTCCAACAACTTCTCCATAATGGCCACAGCTCCTTCTTTCAGACTTATCCAAGTAACTACCTCGGCTCAGCCCAGATTGGAGATTAAATCGCTCAATCCAACCACCTGCTGTCCCAAGAACAGCAAAGTTTCCACATGCACTGATAGTGCAAGCCTGAAGATTATTTTTAAAATGTCACCGGATACTTCCAAAGAACAAGCGAGATGCAAAGGATGGAAGACAAAGTGCTAGTTGAAAATTAGAAATATTTTAAGAAAAATGAAGAAAGCGTACATAGTTTATCCAAGAACACTAACAGTAATTCAGCACAGCTCATAAAATACCATAACACCAGCATTTTCATAGCAAAATCCATTCACAAAGCCTAGGGGTGAAACAAATTCGGGTTAAAACCAAACCGAACCGAAAACCGAACCGAATAAGAAATATGGTTCGGTTTTTTTTCCTAAAGTGGTTCGATTTGGTTTTTAAAAAAAAAAAAAAAAATCGGTTTTCGGTTCGAGAAAATTAAAAACCGAAAACCGAAATTTTGGGCCAAATTTACCCTAAGTATATAAAGCCAAAAAAAAAAAACCCTAATCTATTTTTGCGTTTTCCTCTCAGCCTCTCAGGCACTTCTCACTTTCTCAGACTCGTTCTCAACTTCTCACCCCTACTCAGTCTCACACTCTCACTCTCCTCTTGCTCGTTGACCACCGCCGTCCAGTCGACCACCGTTCACCGTCCAGCATCCACCGTCCAGTCGTCCACCGTCCAAACTCCAAAGGTAATTTTTAATATTTGCGATTATGCATTTATTTGGTTCAAATCTGAAAAAACGAAAGTTAATTTCTTAAGGTTTAAGGTTTTAATTATGAGTAGTGTTAATTACGAAAATGATTATTAAAGATGAGTTTGAATCATGATAAAATTAGAAATTACATGTACAATTTAGTTAAACATTCAGATCTGTTCCTTCCCTTGAATTCTCTAGTATCTTTGGGTGAATATACACTCGATTGTTGATTGTGCTTCTTTCCTTTCGTTTTAACTTATGTTTTTTTTGCCTAATCATATTATTGAAGAAGAATATACACTCGATCTGTTGTTTTACTTTGATATGTTGTGAATTGTGATGTTGTTGTTCTGCTGCTGACTGCTGTGTTGGTGTGGATAAGTGTCTTGGTCAGAAAATCAGAACAATTTGTTGTTCTGCTGCTGTGTTGTTGTGATTTAGTCTCTGGGTTTAATGTATTGATATTGTTCTGCTTCTTTGCATGCTGCTGTGTTGGTGTCAAGTATAATGGATTGATTTAGTTTATGGGTTTAAGTTGTATATAGGTTGTTCTGATTTTCTAATGTATATGCATTCTGCATGAGACTGATTTTCTAATGCATTATGCATTCTGCTCTATTAATTTGGTTTTTTTTTATGTCCTAGGCCAATGGCAACCAATGTGGTTGGTGTTCTTGACCAGCCTCAATCCAAACATGAGACTGACCAAGTCTCATAAAATCAGAATAAAGAACAGGGAGCAAAAAGGAAGAGGATGAAAGAGCGCTCTGAAGTTTGGGAGCACTTTATTAAAGAAGAGTTGGCTTCTGGAAGGCACACAACTTGCAAGTATTGTGGGATGAGCTACAAGTGTGGGGCAAAGAAAAACGGCACAAGTGTGTTATGGGCTCATATTTCGCGATGTCGTAAGTATCCCTTTAACACCCCTAAAGATTCAAAACAAAGTTTGCTTTCATTCAAAAGTGCTAAAGTACCAAGTGGTGGTACTAGTGGGTTGACATACCACAAATTTGATGCTGGTAGTATTAGAAAAGCTTTGTCATTTATGGTGATTGTTGATGAACTTCCATTTAAGTTTGTAGAAGGTATAGGTTTTAGACACTTTTGTGGTGTAATGGAACCTAGATTTAATGTTTCTTCTCGAATTACAGTACCCAAAGATTGTTTTCAAACATATTTAACCGAAATACGAAAGTTGAAAAATGTGTTAAGGAGGTGTAATTCAAGAGTTTCTTTAACCATTTATACATGGACCTCTATACAACAAATCAATTACATGTGCTTGACTGTCCACTTTATTGATAATGATTGGAAATTACACAAAAAAATTCTGAATTTTTGTCCTATTTCTAGTCATAAGGGTGATGATATTGGCAAAGAAATTGAAAAGTGTTTGCTTGATTGGGGGCTTGAAAATGTCATGTGCATAACTGTTGACAATGCTAGCTCAAATGATACTGCAATTGGGTATATGAGAAGGAAAATAAATGGATGGAAAACTCAAATGATACTGCAATTGGGTATATGAGAAGAAAAATAAATGGATGGAAAACTGGGGTTCTTAAGGGTCGTTTCATTCACATGCGTTGTGTTGCACACATTGTCAATTTGGTTGTTTCTGATGGTTTGAAAACTGTTAATGAGTCGGTTCAACGTGTTAGGCATGCTGTTAGGTTTATCAAACAATCTCCTGCTAGGTTACAAAGGTTTAAAAAATGTGTCTTAGATGAAAAAATCAACACAAAAAAGGGATTGTGCCTTGATGTGCCTACTAGGTGGAACTCCACCTAATTGATGTTGAATGCTGCTATTGAACTTGAGGATGCTTTTGAGAGGTATTCTGAGGAAGACCCCCACTATGTAGTTGATTTGAATGAGAGGGATGGTAAGGGTAGCCCTGATTCTCATGATTGGAATAATGTGAGAAGATTTTCTGAATTTCTACAAGCCTTTTATGATATGACCTTGCATGTCTCTGGCTCTTTATATGTCACATCGAATTTGTTTTTTCATGAATTGGTGAGTGTTGTACTTTTGAAAGATTTGGTTTCAAGTGATGATCCGGATATGTGTCTTATGGCTTGTAGAATGAAAGAAAAATATGAAAAGTATTGGGGTGATCCAGAAAAAATAAACCTCTTGATTTTTATTGTCGTTGTCCTTGATCCTCGTTATAAGCTTGATTATGTTCAGTGGATGATAACTGAAATTTATGATCCTATTGTTGCATCAAAGTTGGTTGATAATGTGAAGGTAACTTTGAATGCTTTGTATGAGGAGTATCGTGTTTCTTCATCTAATGATGTGAATAGGGAGGAAGTGTCTTCAAGTAAGGATGACAAAACTCCAGTCTCCCAAACATAAGAAGATTGAAGTCTTAAAGAGTAAGTATAAGAAACACAAGTGAGAGAAAGATGGAGATGCAAAAATAGAGTTGGACAAATATTTGGAGGATACGGCGGATGATATAGATGAATTTGATATTTTGAGCTGGTGGAAGTTCAATTGTTCGAGGTTTCCTACTGTGGGGAGAATTGCCCATGATGTTCTAGCTGTCCCTATTTCGACAGTAGCTTCTGAGAGTGCATTCAGCACTAGTGGCAGAGTTCTAGATCAGTTTAGGAGCTCATTAACTCCCCGAGTTGTAGAAGGTCTTGTTTGTGCTCAAAATTGGTTACGTGCTTCACCATTTCCAAGTACTGAAGAATGTTTAGAGGAAGTTGAGCTTCTTGAAGAAGGTAATATATAAGAACATCTAATCAAAATTTACATATTTTCATAATTTCATTTATGTATGTATATATTAACTTGGTTATTTTTGTTATGAATTATGATAGACTTGAAGAATATGGCAATTGGTGAAGCTGGTATTGATGAAGTGCAAATAATAGACTGATGTGGCTCTTTGCTCATTGCTGATTTGCTGTTGCTAATTGCTACTGCCTTCCTCTATGCTGCTGCTGCTGCCTGCTGACTTGCCTCTGTACGACCTGCTTCTGCTACTGCTGCTCCCTGCTGTTAATCTGTTATGCTACTGCTGTTTGAACTTTAAAGTTGTAATGTTGAACACTTTTTTTTTTTTTTTGGATGAAGTGTTGAATTCTTAGAACTTTGAATTAGAACTTACCAAGTTTCAAAACTTTTAATGTTGTATTGTTGTGAATGTTTTGATGTTGACATGCTAATGGGCCTACTGCCTTGCTCTATTTATGTTAATGTTCTTGTTGCTATTAATCTATTATGCTACAGCTTGTTACAGTTGCTCTTTGCTGTTTAAGCCCACAAAAATGGCAGATTAAAGCCCAAATAAACAAGGCCCAAAAAAAATTCGGTTTGGTTCTGTTTTTTGTTTTGAAACCGAAATTTATATGGTTTGGTTTGGTTCGGTTTCTAAAGTAAAGTGCTGTGGTTTGGTTTCTAAAATCTCGAAACCGAATTAGAGTGGTTTGGTTTCGGTTTGGGCCATAAACCAAACCGAAAACCGAACTTTCACCCCTAACAAAGCCTACACAGGTGTATGATATGCTAAAATTAACTCTTCTCAGTTTTCTGTAATACCCTTGTCTCCATCAGGAACAACAGAAGACTTTCAAGCATCACTTGGAAATACAACAAATGAAAGAAACAACATCCACAAATTTTTCAATTATGACTGAAACAAGCCCCCCCACCCCCCACCCCCCCAAACAACAATTACTTACTCATTAACTTTTGTCAAACTTTCCATGTAAACTGAAGAAGGTCAATGACACCCAAAAGTGGGTCGCAAGCTTTAAAACAAACTAAATTAATAAATAAATAAATACTACTATAAAAAGTGCATCACTTGCATTTACACAAATTTTTAGGAGAGTTGATTTGCTCTAATATTATATTATGCAAGTGGGCAAATGAATGATTAATTAATTTCATTGAAAGTATAATAGGGACCATAAAAGAGATAGTATGTGAGAGAGAGCAGATTTTTTTTTTTTTTTTATTTAAGGACATTGAAAGAAAGAAAAATAATAAAATATTTTCAGTGGGGTTTAGGGAAGACAGAGAAATAATAAAATATGGTATAAAGTTACCAAATATATAAGTGAATAAAAAAATAATAATAAAAGTTAAAATAAAATTAAAAATCCCAAAAACCCAAAAAAGTAGCAAGTGATGCATCTTACAAAAAAACACAGAGAGAGTATAAACTCAATAGTGATATGGTCCAAGATTCAACATCACTGGATTTATTTACCCTCTTGTTATGCAATCCACTTTTCAATATGTGATTGTGATTGTGTGTGTGTGTGTGCGCGCGAGTGTGCGTGCGTGCGTGTGTGTGTGTGTGTGTGCTTGTGTGTGTGTGTGTGTGTGTGTGTGTGAGAGAGAGAGAGAGAGAGAGAGAGATGAGGGGAGCACAATCTCATTACCTTGACTGGAGTACGATTTTCTTCAGAAGGATTCAGTATGTGCTCTCCAAGCACAAAATTCTGCAGTCTCCACACATATGCCTCAGATGTGTCCACATGACAAGTAACCACATTGCACCAATCACGCTCCCTAATTTCAGCTGAACAGTGGTTTTAGCAATATGAATAACAATGTGAACATAGCAGTAATACAAACAAGCCAGTGTGGACACCACGATTATAAAGGCATGGGGAGTTCAGAATCTTCAGATACACCAGTAGATAGACAAAAGATATAAAACACTATGACAATTAACAAATATCAAATCTCATATACTCAAACATACTCTTTGATCCAAATACAAAAAAGTAACCAGTTACGTAAAGTAATGATTTTAAAACTACCTGTTACAAATTATTGACAATCACACAATAGTTGCGCCAATAAGTTATTGTCTAAAAATGAACAAATTAATCATATTTTGCCAAATTAATATATACTGTATTAGTCATTTGTCAAAAAAGGATTCATCCACAGGCAATTCCTTGTACCCAGCATTTTATAGACTCAAACCAGTTCCTTGTACCCAGTAATTATTACGACTCAAACCAAGCAAAATTAGCAAACAAGTTTCTTAATCATTTAAAAGACAAGGGGCATGGAACAATGTATCTTATTAACACATTTGAGATTTGAAGAGCAGCAAGCTTCTAAATTAACAACTTTAATTAATAAATAACAGAAAGCAAGATCTATATAGTTCCTCGAATTTTATTAGTTGCAACTTAGATTATTCATACACTAGCTTTAAGCCTTTAATCATATTTTACTAACATCAGAAACCTGTAGCCCGATGAGGGCAGAAAGTAATAAGGGGCCAATTAGTGAAAAAATATCAGAAAATAGAATCAATCCCATCTTCACTAATCTGTATAGTAAGTTGGACATGAAAAGAGATGCATGTATTGATTTTGTATGAGAGAGAGAGAGAGCAACTTACCACAATCAAATGCAACAACAGGCTTCAGCTTTATATCCTCCTCCTACCAAGACAGTACAAAGAAAAATGAAGCGACAAGGTGAACGCAATATACATTATATATCAGATGCAAGCAGATAATCAAGATCAATAATTAAAGCAAAAATAAAATCTTTAAATTTGAAGGAAATGAACTTTGGATGTCGAACTTGGGTGTGGATCCGAGGGTCAGACATTCTAGAATTGAGGATTCGGAACACGATTAGTAGACTTCCAAATTTACTGGAGTATTTAAAACTTGCATTACACAAAAGCTACTATAGAACATAAAAAACACACAAACAATTAAAGAGAGAAAAAGGAGGATTTTTTTTATCAAAAGAAATGTGTTCCAAGATGAATACAAGCACATCTCTCTCTCTCTCTCTCTCTCTCTCTCTCTCTCTCTCTCTCTCTCCCTCCCTCCTTCTCTTTCTCTCTCTCTCTCTCTCTCTCTTCTCTCTCTCTCTCTCTCTCTCTCTCCCTCTCTCTCTCTCTCTCTCTCTCCCTCTCTCTCTCTCTCTCTCCCACAAAATTTCAGATTTCAAGGTTTTCAAAACCAATGACAGATTCTCAGACCTTCCTCTTGATTTGTTGCAAGTTAGTTTTCCTCATGCCGGGTCTAACCCATATCCTGCGTCGGCACCTGAACTAGATTGGGTAATTTAAATGCATACATGAACATTGGACAAACATGGTAAACTCTTCCATTACAAACTTTTCCAATGTAGTATTCACTTAAACAAACGTAATATCAACAAGGAGTGGAATAAATTATTCACACATCAACCAATCAAAATTAGATGGGCAGACTTGTAAAAGGGGCAGCCCTTGCAGATATGACCTGCTAATTTCTACAAGATGTACAACTGCAGAGAGGGGCAGGAGATTACATGTTATGTTAAATAAGTGTTAAAATCCACCCTATTTTGCATTGTATTTAGAGTCATGCACTCACGCATGTTAAGCACTTCTTTCTTGTTGATCCTAGAACAAGACAAAATTCATATCTTCTTGAAGTATGATAGGTATGCAACAAGATAACATAGCAAACACCTATCAGTCTCTTTGCAAGGGTATTAAGTATTGACAATGAAAAGCCTTCCCAGCTAGTTTGAAAATTCATTAGCACTATAGTCAGCAAGGAATTAATCTTTTGATCTGTCCCTAGTGTTATTTTAACACAAATTTGTAGTAATTGTTTATTTCAATCTATTCAAACTTGAGATTCTTGTAGAAGTTCAATTTGATACCCTGCTCATTTACTCACATTTGTGCCAACCAGGCACCCTCAAAATAACCATCCGAGGCTTGTTCTCTAGCTACAAAGAAACAATTACTGCCCACACATTCTAACCATCAAAATAAGGGATTGTGATAACAGGCTCATAGTGTTTAGCAAATGTAAATGTCCATAGCATCAAATCATATTATAAATTTATAACTACTTATTGGCCTCGGCGATGCCCCGAATTATAGGTGAATAAAAAAATATAAAAATAAATTTAAGATTAATGAGTGCTAGTTTTTATTCATTTCACTTTACATGATAAAATAACAACTTATTTAAATATTACTTTGTATAATTGCTTGATTGGTATTAAATCTAAAAAAGTAGCATCCAAGGAATCAACAACCATTAGTGTGTGATTAATGTCTTACAAATTAAATTGTAGATTATTGTGCAATTACTTAGGAGTTACATTCTATGGGAGAATTAAATACGAAGGTTACACATATGAAGAGCTTTAGGGTAATAAGTGATGACACATAAGGTGACACATAACGTTCATGTGGCGCCAAATCATATTGAAGGAACGTGACACATGGCGGTAGCATGTTTTCTTTTAGAGTTTTAATAATGTTACAGATCATCATGAAATGCCCAATTGCTACCAATTATCTTTCAAAAATCTACTTTTATATTTATTGTATTTGAGGGTCTCTCCCAGAAAGCCATTTTTGATGATCAAAGGCTATATACATCTTAAACTCCCTAAACATTGCCCTTGGCAAGATCTTCAATGGGTTGCTACAGTCACTGTTATTGTTGATTATTTTAATGTTCAAATATTCATCTTAGAAAACATTCTCCCATATTTCTTCCCCAGCCAACATTAAAAACAAGAAATTAAAAAGAAAAAACAAGCATATAGGAGTCAAGACAAGATTATGTAGACAATTCTGAAGAATTGAAACAAGCCAAAATAAATGAATAGCATTTATACCTTTATCCTGAGTTTCTTGGCTCTTTTAGCCACATGACGCTGTGAAAGCTCCCTACTTTGTTGATCCTGATCATAGCCAAAACGTTAATCCATAATATAGATGGTGACAACCACTAACTCTTTCAGAAAGACTTTTCAAAACATAAATATGCAGTCAATTACATAACACCCAATTACTCCTTCACATTACCAAATCAACATTTCAAAAATATAGCTATTAAGTTATATAAATTAAAAAAAAAAAATGTCACCAAGATGGGGATTATGAAGAAGGATATACAGACAGAAAAACAAAACAGAGAGTTCAAAACTAGGCCCCAACATACATATTTCCAGAAAAGCTCCTACAAATTATTATTGTTATACTTTATAAAAGAGAAGCACTACCCAACTTAATATGCTAGAAAACAGTCTTGATCAGACTTTACTAAACAGACATTGGAAAATCTATGATTGTTCATATCAATCTTATGTACAATACCAGAATCAAACTGGGAATAATTTATCAATCAATGATAGATGGGCTGCAATTTCAGTTAATACATCCAATTGAAATCTAATAAATTTGGAACATAAATCACCAACTTAATAGAAGAGATCTAACAGAGATGAAGTCCCAATCACTCAGTTCTACAAGGAAAGTTTTTAATGGGCTCACTACCAACTATTATATTTCACGTCTATGAATGGATAAAATCCACTCAATTGAAGCCAAGATGAATACATCTGCTGCATGTTTACCCTCAAAGCTACTGTCATAAGACCTAAGACAACAAAAGAAAAACCTAGCATCAACTTTACCCACAAAATGCCAACCAGAGCATCCACTCTGAGTTGCAAGAAAAACAATTTTAATAATTAGCAACTCCACCTATGAGTGCTCCTCTGTCACTTATTGTCTGTCTAAAGCATAATAAATTGGAAAAAAAAACAGCGTAAAGCTTTGTCATGTCCTTTTGAACCTACCAAGAACTCAGTACCCACGACTAACTGCTTGTTGTACACAGCGACAACTGATGAACTAACAGCTGTAAAGAATATTGCTAATCTACTTTAATGAAGATGATAGCACCATCCTTAGGATGGCATTATAATAAAATACGGAACTGCAGTCAAGTACAACCCTAGAGAATACATGACAGGCTTATAAAAATTAAGAAGCAATCAACCTGGACTACAGAAAAAAGCCTGAAAGCTCGGTCCTGGCCAGCAGATAAAATGTGCCTCCCATTTGCATAAAACCTGCAATAAGAGATATGTTTGAATTTGTAAAGCACAATAATACAATAGACTGGGCATACCAATAAATAAAAGTCATAAAAGTTTAAATTAGTCATAATGCCATATTTTACTTTTTTAAAAATTGGAAAATAAAATGAATATGACCATTGTGCTGACTCCAAAATCTACATCAACTGATCAACCCATAGGGTTTCACTAGATCTGGATCTCCAACACTTTAATGTAAGGGATATAGGCAACCCGGTCATCAATTTTCCATACACTCCCCACCCAACTTCTCAACGAAGTAGAACAGCTAAGCAGCGGTAGAGATATCTAGTAGCCACTGTCCTGTAGTAGTTGACTAATAGAGAATGGGTTGTAAGATACTGTAGCGTACAACATAGTAGAGATCAGTTAAAGAAATAAAGATGAACCACAATCAGGATTGGACTATAGGAGCAATAGGGCATTTTAAGTTAGGATATGGACAGAGATCAATTTATGGAATAATGATGAACCACAATAAGGGTTGGGCTATATGAGCAATAGGGGGTTTTCAGTTAGAATATGCGCAAGAAAGAGATTATAGGTTGTGGGATTAAAATTAAAATCATAGACCATCCATTAAAATTTAAAGGGAAATTCTCAATGGTAGCCTTCTACTATTGCGTAATTCCAATGGTATAGCCAATTTTTATTTCGATTTTCAATGGTAGCCCTATACTTTCAAAAATTCTCAACTGTAACCTAAATTATGTTTTCTGTTAAATTTCTGTTAAATCTAACCTTATTATAAACCAAGGTAAACTTTAAAAAAATAGTAATCTATAAAATATATATAAAATTAAAACTATCACTCCCCCACCATTAGCCCAGCCACCCTTTTCCCTCCTTCTGCAGTCACCCCTCTCCGTCACCCCTCCACTCCATCGCAACAACCTCTCCCGAAATCGGCCACCACCCACCCCAAAACCCACCACGAAATCTGCCACCACCCACCTCAAAATAAACCATGAAAAGTCCTCTCCTACCACCCACAAAACCCCCCAATCTACGAAAACCACCAGTCCACCACCAACCAAAACCCACCCACGAAACTGGCAACCCATGAAAAACAAACCCATCTTCTCATCGACCCATTTCCCAATAATCAAACCCACATCCAGCAAGCAAGACTTGACCCATGAGTCGCCCCTTTCAAGAACGACGATGGGGAAGGAGCCGGTAGGGTGTTGGTCGGCGGTGGGGGTAGGAGCCGGGTTGGGGTAGGGTTTTGGGGAGAGAGAGAGTCGGGTTGGGGGACAGGTCGTGGGGTTTGATTTGAATTGCCAATGTGAAGGTTGGTCGAAGGTGAACGAATGGAAGGGGGTGTCGGTCGATGGTGGCCAACGGTGGTGTTGATTGAAGGTGGCCAGCAGCGGTTGTCAATGGAGGTAAGGGGTTACAGTGCTTGTCAATGGGTTGTCGATGGAGGTTAGGGGTTGGGGTATTTTATTTTATTTTTTAAATAATTTTTCTTTTAATTATTCAATTTAAATAGTTGACCTTAATTAGATTTCACGGAAATGCAACTAGAAAAATCGTCATTAAGGTTATGATTGTAAAACAATGAAAGTAGAGGGCTACCATTGAGAATCGAATTAAAAAATGGCTATCATTGGAATTACGCAATTTGTAGAGGACTACCATTGAGAATTTCCTAAATTTAAATCCCTATTTCCTCTATAATAAATAAAAAGGCTTTTCTTCCCTGTCTCATTCTTGGTGAAAAATTTTTCCCCAACCTGTAAACCAAGTAGTTCCTAAACCCAATCTGATCTTTAAAAGAAAACGAAACACAACTTGAAATAAATAGCAACAACACATCCACATAAAAGTGGTCTAGTTGATTTTTTTTTTCAAATACAACAATGCAACGATAAAGTATGAGTGAAAGGGGGAAACTTTCCCTAATTTATGGTACATTTTGTACCCTTGCAAAGGAAGATATGTTTATATTTGATGTTAAAGGAGAAATAATTAGGTTTATAACCATATCATAAGTTCAAATGTGTGAACATCAAGTGAATAGAATACACCCTTAATAAGATAATATTTAAGAAACAATTAATTTTGCACATTTCTTTCATACTCCTCTCTCGATCCCTTTCATATATATGGGAGGGATCCGATGAGAATGGATTCATATGTGAGAACTCATACTTATATGAGAACGGATCTAAAATTTAGAACATATGAGTAAAAATTTAGAACACATGATTAAATATTTAGAACATATGAATAAAACTTTAGAACATCTGCGCAATTAATAATTTAGAACATCTAATTTCAAATTCAGTTATTGTTATAAAATTTTTAAAATCTTATTTAAGATTTAGAACATGTGAGTAAAAATATAGAACATTTGATTTAAGATTTAGAACATGTGAGTAAAATTTTAGAATAACTGATTTAAAATTTAGAACGTACGAGTAAACATTTAGAACATATGAGTAAAATTTAAAACATATGAGTAATAATTTAGAACACAATTTTTGAATCATATAAGTTAAATTTAGAACAAATAACTTAAGATTTAGAACATGTGAGTAATAATTTAGAACATACGAGTAAAAATTTGGAACATGAGTGTTCTCACATATGAAAGAGTTCTCACATATAAGAGGGGTTCTCACGAGAGCCTTCCCCTATAAAAAATCAATTATATCAAGCGACCATAACCCAAAAAAATCTATTTGACTATCATCTAAAGAGATATGATCAGCTCTTATCAAATGAATAAAGATCAGCTCTTCCTAGTTTTAACTTTTAACAAGTTCCAAGAATTGAGTAGAAGCCCTCTGATTCTTTGCTTGCAATTTAGCCTCGAAATCTATATTAACCCACTTGGAAGTCCCCAAAAGAAATTTTTTGAAATCCTTAATCTCTACAATGGACTTTCAGATTTATTCTTAAAACAAAAGAGGGACAAAACCAAGACCAAGTTTGTATTGAAGCTTTTCTACTTCTCTTTAAGTGTGATACCCTACCTGCTAGTTATCCCAACCCAGAAGAACATGGGTGGAGGAGCTAGTTTTACAGGCACAATTAACATCGTCTGAACATTTTCTCCATTGCCATAGAACAAATAGAAATAGCTTCCTCTCCTAAATAAGGCCTTCTCTAAGGGAGTTTGAGTTACCCTCTTAACCAAAGGGTATACTTGGAAATTTTTAAATCATAAGAGAGATTGGCGGCATAATTTACACAAACCTCATACTTGGTAATTATAAAGTAATTCTCTGATGTGAAAGAGGTAGTTTTTTACAATTACTCTCTTACAGTTTTACATAAATGTTACATTGAAATTTACTACACCCTTTAATTCTCTAAGTGAAGGGCAATATGAATTTTTAAAGTAACAACTACATTACAGCGTGCAAAAAATAAATAGCGTATGATAAAGTGCAAAATCAATGATCTAGAAAAGTTCTGCAAACATCTAAAATTTTTATTATATATAACACTCTACCTTATACAAAGTGGAGGTGCACTATGTCCATTTCGTAATCGTAAAAGACGAGGATCCCCATCGCTAGTATCGAATATCCACATCTGGCAAATGAGAGAAAGGGAGAATTTAAAGCAGAATAAACAGTCTGTAAATCAAGAAACAGCTTTTATATGTTCAAAATGAAGCATGAAAATCAAAAGCAGATCTTAATTGCACCCTGCCCAACATCAGCATAGAATGTTATCAGGTTCATGCCACAACACCCACAATATTATTCCACAATAACACTTTATTGTCCATTTTCAGTAAAATTTCAAGCAAGACTTTTTAAAACTTCTACAATGACTCAATCTTTGTATACATTAGCCAAAGAACATAGTGACGCCAACGGGCATCTTGGATTAATTAAAATGAAGAATAATTCTTACAAAGGTAAAGAAGGATTTCTACAAAAGAGGTATAACAGTAAATAGAAGAAATACTACCTCCTCTTTCTTTTGTTATACCCACTTTTCATGAAAATTTTATATACACCTGGTTGCAAGGTGCACCCAAGGGTAATTCAGCTCATTTAATTATTAATTTTTTGCTCATTTCAAAATTTAAAAAGAGCAAGAAAAACACCTTTGAGTGCACCTACCTCAATGCGCACCTTTCTAAACAACAAAAAAAAAAAAAAAAAAAAAAAAAAAAAAAAAAAAAAAAACTATGTGCAATTGGGTGTATATAAAAGGTTATACATTTTTCATATTAGGGTGATTTTTTTTTATGTTCTACCCAATATTACTTTCTCCTTTTAGATAAAACAAAAAAAAAAAAAAAAAAAAAAAAAAAGAATCCTTTACCGACTTACCCCTCTTACCCCACAATCTATCAACCTTTAAACTCTCTTACTCTACCTATCTTTTTCTCACAACCAGTCACCTTTTGAATCCATCTCTCTTATTTTAACCACATTTATCTTGCACCATCCACCTCTTTCAAAAATTCTTCGGTTTACGAATCTACAGTGAGTTGAAAAAAAAAGAAAAAAAAGAAAGAAAAGAAAACAGAGATAGTGGTTAAAATGGGCCATTTGTCAAATATAAACTGCTTTTACGTCCTCAAAATTAGATCAATGTGTGGAGCTATAAGGAAAAAAAATCAATGATTTCAACAATATTCATGAGACAGAGGTTATAAGAGAATACGTTAAACAGAAAGATCAACATCCACTATATTCCACACTACAAAATTAATTGATCTCATTGACTACACGTTCATCTAGCACCAACCTAATGCATTTATTTCACATAACATGATACATTCCTACGAGCCTATAACAATTGTAATCAATAACCACCCTGTTGATATGACAGCCAAATACCTTTGAATGCAGAGGAAGATGAGGCAAAAATATATCCAACAGGTATTCCCTCTTTCACACTCTGATAGGCCACATTTCTATTTTGACACATAAAAAAATAGGCCACTCTTTAAACCTAGTAAGTCAAATTATGACATTTGAAACATATTATCAAAATAAGATGATTGTTCTCAGCTAAATAAATCATCAAGGTAATTACAGCATTTCTAGCCAATTCTAGTCTTGTGGAGTGTCAACGATTAGGGAGAGGTAGCATGGGTAGAGCTTAAGTAGAGGTAATTGATTCAAACAAAAAAAAAAATCCATGTACCGTTAAAAATGAGGAAAAATTGTCAAAAATAATAAAAACTTTGAGCGGTCTTCAAAAAACAAGTCAATCTTTTGATTATTTCTAAATAATACAAAATTTGGGGAGTATCCGCTTTAAACAAGTTATAACCGGTTGGCGACTTGAGTATCAGGTATATGGGACACGTGTCATAATTTTATTGGTTTGACAATTTAACTTGAATTTATTTTAATTTAATTAATGTTTATAATTTTTAAAAGATATAAAATAATATTTATTATTATTATTAATAATATACCATCCCCGACTGCCAGCCACCACAAAAACCCACAAATCCCCCATCAAAACCCCCAACCGCCTCTTCCCCCACCCCCAAAATCCTAGCGGCTAGGGTTGTCGACAGATGGGGAAGGAGCGTTTGGGGGTTTCGATGGTGGGGAACAGGAGGTTTGTGGGTTTTAGTGGGGAGGGAGAGGGATTTCGTTGATGGTGGTTCGGGGGAGGGGAAATGGGTTTCGATGATGGTGGTTCGAGGGCGAGGGAGGGCGACGACAAGGTAGGAATAGGCGGCGGCCGGCGACCAGGTTGGGTAGCTGGGCTGGCGCCGCGAGGGGAGGGGAGTTATTGGTGGAGTCGCCGGTGGAGGAGGGGTGGCTGGTGGTGAAGAAGGGATGTTTTTTTTTTATAATTATTTTTTAAAATTATTTTAATTGTTAATCAACTATGATTAAATCTTTACTTAGGAGTTAATTAAATTCTGAAACGAATTTATATAAAAAAAAAATAAAAAAAGTTAACCGGTTATATAGGTTGTAGGTAAAATATCCCATTTAAAGCGGATGCTCCCCAAAATTTGTATTATTCAAATATAATTAAAAGTTTGACTTGTTTTTGGCGGACCGCCCAAAGTTTGTATTATTTTTGATAATTTTTCCTAAAAATGATGATTATACGAAATTTAAATGCCGGAATCCAAAACACATAGGCAGGATCAGATATTAAAGGTTCTTCTAACAGCAACCTCAAGATTTTACATATAATCTTAATCATTGTTATATTTTAAATAGAGATCTAACATTCCATCAGGTTGACAGCCAATACCTTGCAAAGTTAAAACAGAACAAAAAATGTTAGAGCGAGGAAATTATTGAAAGGAAACTAGGGCAGTATCTAAAAATATTGGGAAAAGTAGGATTGACACATTAAATTTCAATACAATTCAGGTGCCAACATGAAAAAGACTCAAGAAGGGCCTAAGTCAGTTTCACATAACCTCAGCATACACACACACACACACACACAAATAAGGCACATCAAGTTCAAGGGGCTTGAATATTGCTCCTTTGACTGACCACGACCTAGATCTCTACAAATATCCAAGAGTCCTTTTATTTAAGACCCTAGTTCTTTACACATAACCATTTCCATGTATTTTGACATTTGACAAGCCAATAATAGATGTATAAAGAAGTCAAAGAAGCCACGCAAAGCCAGGTGTAGAGAAGTCAAAAAATTTAGAAAATTGCCTTACTTTTATCGAGTTGTCAGCTGAAGCACTCATCAGCACAGGCTCATTTGCAAAGAAGTGGAGTGAAATAATTGCACCGTCATGAGCATCTTTTATAACTGACTGAAGCCTTCTTTTCTCAAGATTCCATATGCTAATGACACCAGAAGAGCCTCCAGAAGCTAAAAGAGGCTGTCCATCTGTAACACAATTTTTTTTTTTAGCTAATGACGCAGAAAGATAACAGAAAATGAACTTGTATAATCCTTGATAAAACAGATAGCTTCTAATTATAAAGCTTTTTATTCCCAGCAGATAACTAAAACTTTGAGAGCCTACGGAAGATTATACCAATTAGTTTGATGATACATGTTCTCCCAAATTTCAAGATCAAGAAACTCAGTCGGATCTTCCCAACTTCCTAAATGGACAATCTACAGGATGCGGTATATTAACATCAAAAAAAAAATGATAATATATGAGTACCCTTTGTTACCTATAATATGTTGAGTAGTACACCAACTAGCCTCTTCAAATATACAGCTATATTTCCTTAACTACCCAGTGTAACTACAACAGATGACACTATAAAAAAAATTGCATAATTATCAATCATTTCAAGGTCTGTAAAGGCCCTTAAACAAACAGATATAAGTCTGTAAAGCTTTTGCATAAAAGAGGCTTGTGATAGTGCAATTTTTTTCATGATGCAATGTTTACGTGAAAACATTACAAAATATGTTACTATGAGGTAATATTAAAATAAAAACAAAGAAATGCACGAAACAAAAGGTGTTGCTTGCAAACATGTTATTAAAGAAGACTTCTACAAGAAGTATGCAATCGCGTAGTTGATTGCTTATTAAAAGGGATTAAATTACAGTTCTAGAGCAGTTGTCAATTCATTTCTGCAAGCCCTACAAAGAAATTTCAACAGGGCAAAAATGATATAGTTCATTTATTCATCACAATTTATAAGAGGTTGGTTACAATCACCGCATATTCTTTGGCACCATAATCATTTCAGTTCTGCATAAAAGTACAAATGCAAAATATTCAGAAATAATCAACCAAGTACAAGACATTAGTTACTTGGAGGATTTTCTTCCATGCATGACATGAGCTGAAAGCAAGGGCTTATAAATTACACACATGCACAAATAAAGCACCTTAGTTGTAAAAGCAAAAAGGTGCAAAAGGTCCTCGAAGCCTAGGTATGAGGCAAAGACACATGCCTTCCATAAAACAAGTCTTAATATATGAGAATAACTTTTTTAAAAAGTCAAAATAAGTTAGAGAAAAGGTGGGGAGACCAAGTTATTAGTTCAGTCAACAGTCAATAAGTGTGGGCACTTTACCAGCACAGAAAATAAATAAATAAATAAATAAATAAAAACCCCACAAAGAGGAACAACAGAATTTTGAGATTTAGAAAAAATGTAAAAGCAGAAAAGGTTAAACACATCCATGTGAAGATATCAAAGATTTTTACGAGTTTTGGACAAACATGTAAATCTTAATATTATAAAACCACAACATTCTTCTTCAGTGACTATCAATCAAAGCCTTAATCCCATAAGTGGGGTCAGCTACATAAACCAAAAGTGATTATTCTGTGTAGTCATTGACAAAAATCTTCCTTCTCCCTAACTCACCGATCAAATGCCTCATCCTCATGCAAATCCATATATTTCATATCCTTCCTAACTCCTTCCAACCAAATCATTTTCGGTCTCCCTTTCCCTCATTTAACCCCTCCATGATCCCACTCCTCCACTCTTTGCACCGGTGCACCCTCGGGTCTCCGTCTTACATGCCCAAACCACGCAGGCAATTTTCCCTTAGTTTGTCTGAATGTCTGTCACACCTGCTTTCTTGCGAATAACCTCATTTCTGATTCTATCTCTTAGAGTATTCCCACACATCCAACATTCTTTTTCAGTGACTAACACGATCAATAATCAGCTTGCTTGATGATGTCGCCCCATCTGGACAATCATATTCTAAAAAAAAATAACTTGAACTTTATCATTTCTTTTGCAGCCACTCACATGATTTTGAACTTCCGTTCATACTCCCAGAGATGAAAACACACACTTCAACCATACCATGCATCCACTTCACATATTGGCATCCCCCACTGGTGTATATATAAAAGATATACATTCTAACTACCCATGAGCCATATTTATGCATCCAATTCTTCTTACATTCCTAGTATATGCTAGCCAATGTCTATTTCAATATTTAGGAGAGGCACATCCGAATAGTGTATATTCAATAAAGTAAACACAACTTCTAACCCCACCCAACAACACATTACAAAGATCCTCCATGGGCTCCATCCATCTCATACATATATCCCTTTCACTAGCAATCTAGATCACTAGGCCAGTTGCCCTTTTCTTAGATAAGGGGAAATGTTAACAAACAAAAAAAAAAAAAAAGTATATAGTACATCCATAGAAGACAAGTGATCCTCAAAAAATATTCAATACAAGAAAATGGCAATGCCAACTACGAGTTACATCATCAAGGGAAGACCAAGAACAACCCCCCCCCCCCCAACAATAAAGTGGTACCATAATGAAAGGAGGAAAGCCACTCTAAAGCTCAAATCATGTTCATCTATAGCAGAAAATCTATCAATCTACTTGAGCCATAAAACACAAAGAATAGTAAGGCCTACTTAATTTACAAAGTCAAGGTATTACCTTACTTGTGGTTTTGACGAATAAAAATGCTCATGTTCAGATGTCCTAAAGAGACTAATCATAGACTACCATGCATGCTAGCAAGTTTAACTCATAAGTCATCTAATAGAGGATTTAACCAATAGTGTTTTGGTACAATAGGAGCAATAAAATGCAAGACTTAGCATTGAGATCATCTAATTACCATTTTGGACAGTAAAAATGGATTAATAAATAGAAGGATAGTCACTTTCACACTAGGTTATGTAAATATCTTTTCTTAATAAGCCACCATGTTCTAAATTCACAAGACAGCATCCATAAAAAAATCACAACAGTCACCAACCCATTAAGAGTTGTACAAATATATACTCAGTAATGAAGAAATATACACATAAGACAAATATAGATTCATATTTTGTCATTCGGAAATGTTATAAATTGCTCATATTGTTAAGAAATTAAAATCAGTAAACATATGTTTTCAAGGTGTAAATTAAAAAAGGTTCCAATACTGGATTATTCTATTTGCTTTCTTATCCCTAAAGAGAGACAAGACAAAAGTGGTGGTGTACTTTTCTCTCTAGATTACAATAATATAAAGCAAATATTTCCAATTAGTAAAATGATGCCTCAACAGCAGGCAGCAACAATGCACAACAGGACACCTACAATATAACACTTCCACAACATTGAATGACACTGCAACCACAATCATGATTTCTTACGATTGAAAAACAAATTAGTATCCACAACAATGAATACAAGTTTGGTTTCAATCATGACAATAAGATGACATAACTTCAGCAGCAAATACCTACCAAAAGTTGTAAAAGCGCTTCACAAGTTAACCAAACTAAACATAAGTGAGACATCGAGATTGATGCATCTTGTCAAGCCAAAGGCCAACAGCTTAAATTAAACTGGAAATTTAATGTAGCATTGGCCACCTTTACCAAAGAGAGAGAGCATGTCAAAGAAGCTCAAGACAACTTCCCAGAAAAAAAAATGATGACTAAAGAATTCACACAATCACGTAACTATGAATGAGCTGCTAAAAAGGTTTCCTTATAAGATATAGATGATCATAAAAATTCAAGATGACCTTATAAATTTTTTTAAGCTGCATTCACATAAAAAAAATTAACCAAATATTCCATAACTCTTACCTGTGCTAAAAGATAGTGCAGTCACAGCACCTCGCATAGAATGTGTGAATGTGACAAGCTCTTCGTCATAACGTATATTATGGACATGGATCTTCCCATCAGCACAACCCACAGCAACAACATCTAGTGCTGGAGATGAGACACAACAAGATATGGGAGAATCCCATCCCTTAAAATCATAAAGCTTTTTCTTAGTGTTAACATTCCAAATCTGCAAATTTCCTTCTTGGCTACCAAAAATAATCTGGGAAAAAAAAAACAGAACTTCAAAAGCTCTCCAACAGAACTAAGACATGAGTAATAAAAGATATTGTCCAAGTACCATTTGGTTCGTAAAAGGGAAAGGGTAAGAGTTTAAAAAAGGGAATCAAGGAGAATTGAAAACAATTGCCTTTAATATCATGTGTTGTTTTGGATACTTATTTTTCCTTAAACATCATCATTTTTCCTCTCACCGGTCACCACCAACCTCCCTCACTAACCGGCATCTCCCTCCTGTCTCTCTCCCTCCTTCCCTCACTGCCTTCCCTCCTTCACATTCACTCCCCACCATCGTCACCGACCCTCCCTGCCGCCACACCGCCATTCCTTCTCTCTTTCTTCTCCATCACCACCATGGTTATATTTGAGTTTGAAAGGTTGGTCGTTTAAAACTATAATTGATGACATGAACAGGTTTGTTTTTATTTTTACTTATAAATTTTTTTCGAATTTTTAGGGTTATTACTTTTTGGGTGAATGTTGGTTGCTTTGAGTAGTGATGGGGCTTATTTCCGATGGTTTGGGGTGGGTTATGGGTGGGTGGATGGATGGATTGTGGAATCCGGGTGTGGGGTGGTTATGAGGGGTAGGACAATCTCAAGTGGGTGGGAGGGGTGACTTTGAGGTTTGTAAGGGTGGTTTTTGGATGGGCAGTGGTGGCTTGGGGAGATCGATAAGGGTAGGGGTGGCGGGTGAGGGTGGCGGTGGTGCTTGTGATTTGGTGTAAGCAAAGGTGGCGTCAATTTGGGGGACGGTGGTGGTGATTAGAGCTGATAATGAGCCAAGGTGCTCGTGAACTGATCATGCTCAGCTCGGTCAAAGCTTGAATAAGAGTCAGTTCGGATTCGGCTCGAGACTAAACGAGACGATACACGAGCCATGCTAAGCTCGGCTCGAAAAGCTCGCAAGAGGCTCAAATTATTTTTTTTAAATAAATATTATATGTTTTTTTACATTTAAATAGAGTTAATTAGTTAATAAGCATAATAACAACAACCCACTATTATACTTGGGTAGTTTGGGTAAGTTACGTGACATAGATTATGCATTTATGGGCCAAAATGAGCCTAATTTCAAAATCGAGCTTATAACGAGTCTGATTTCGAACTCAAGCCAATCACGAGCTGGAGCCGAGCTCAATTTTCAAGTCTCAACGGGCCACGAGCTCAAGCCGAGCCTTGAACCCGAACTCACGAGCTCGGGCTGCTCATTAACAGCCCTAGAGGTGATGGTGGTGCGATGGTGGACATGCATTGGTGTTAATGGGTGTGAAAGGGAATGCAAATATCATTGGGGGTGTGGGGTATTAAAATAGAGGAGTTAGGGATTATAAGAAGGTAAAGGGGTGAATAGAAATAGCATTACAAACAACAATTACCCCATACTAAAAGCCCCTTACTATATCAAATAAATCAACAAGGATAAAGGAGAGGCAATGACAGAGGATGTACGTACCTTATTCAAGTAAGTATCGGGATGAACAATACAAGTAGGAGAAAAATTTCCTTCCAAAACAATATGGCTAAGTGGCTCTAAATTTTGCTCAATTCCTTTAAAGGCCCATATAAACAAATGATGATCAACATCAACACTCAAGATGTGATCACCAAACAGATACAATAATTGGACCTTTGCCGTATGAGAGCTCCAAGTTGCAACCTACCAATCATAAATAATAAAATCAATTGAACATTAATTAACTCTTGGTATATCACATCATATAACTAATCACTAATATATAAAGATGTTAAGTCATGAGGCAGCGACACTTGGCGCTCCAACTTTTCGCCGTTGGCGTAAAATAATTATTATTATTATTATGACACTAATGATAGTAAAGAATTTTGGATAGATTTTTTAAAATAAAAAAGAGAGTTTAATAATCTTTATGCTTCCAATAAAAAAGTGTGGAGTATTTTGATAACTTAACCCACACTTGTTTCCCAAACTTAACTTACCTAATGGTGGTATAAATCGATCCAAACTTGACTCCCCTAAAAATAATCAGATTCAAAGTTGACCCAAGCCTATGAATGAACTGACTGAAATTAATCTAACCCAATAATTAACCAACCCTAACAAAACCTGAATTTATCTGTCATAATCCGCATTAAACCCGAATTGAACCAAACGAACCTGAATTTGAATTGAATCGTACCCGAACTACAACTGAAAGGGTAAATAACTTGTCATAACCCAAACCAGAACTTGATTTGGAGACATTGACCCAACTTGAACCTAGCCTGATTACACGAATTGACAGTTCTATACACATAACATAGTGTATGCTTATGCTATAAGGGCATATTTAATTCTTACATCAACAATAAACTAAGAACTACCAGACAGTATTACTAATATAGAAATGGAATCATAATAAAGGACACACTTAATACAGAGCCTCAAAATACAAACCTGATGAGCACGCTTAAACACTGCAATTTCATTCCCATAAGCTGCAAAAGTATAATCACGGTAGGAAGCAAGAGCCCGGATTTTCTTTGGAAGTTGAGGACCTTCAGTAATTTTGAAAAAAATAAAATAAATAAGATAAGAAAAGCATTAGAAAACCAGTGCTCAGCAAAGTGACAGCAACCAACAAGAGCATCAAAGATTCAAAGGTACTAAGAGAGTATGGCATACTAAGGATTGTGGACAGCTTTACCACATTCAATCTAGGGCCTAATCTCTTTTAAAAAGCTAATTAGTTCCATTATTACACATTTGAGTTTTTCACAACATTTATCTGGCCACAATAAGAGTCAGTTGAGGCGACTCACTGTATTAATCTCACATAGTACCAAATAACTACCAAAATCGGTACAAATTGTACTAAAATATGTGATTTTGGTACAAAAATATGCTTACTTGGTACTTTTATCAGAGAGGCGCTAGAAAATCCCCACTACAATACCACCAACATTACCACATTTGGGTGTCATGTCGTGTCGAATTGTCAAAAGATCCAACACGCGACACCCGACATACAGCGGGGTGTTGGGAAACAAAGGTGCTCAACTACTCATCCACACGAGAGTAATAGACTAACAATAATCAGCTCATATTACCAAGCAAAACACGAGTTCTCTCACACGGTCAAATCAACTAAACCCTACAGTTCATGCAGTAATAGTTTTTATTTCTTTTTGGATAATTTCATACAGTAATAGTAGTCAGCTCATGTAAAATCCAATACTACATATAGATCTGAGCAAGATGCCAAAAAACACATGTAGAGTTCGAACTAAGGCATGCCAGCTTGGTGAGCCTTAGTCACACACTGTTTAAACATAGCTAGAACACAATTTGACTGAATCCTAAACCAATTGAGTCTCAAATCAAATTAAATCAGACTGGCACCCAGTACATTACTCGTTATTTTAATTATTTTTTTTCCGATCATCAAATATATATACTAAGGTAGTAAGGTGTAAGATTTAGGGAATCAAGGTTGTTAGGACAAAGAGCACCAACACGTGTATATTGTAGTAACAAATTAAAATCAGGTGAGCACAAAGTAGAGGTGGAGGCCAATACCATAGAGTTAACACAAATTTACATAGTTCTTGGATGTGTATGCCAATTATTATAACCCCAAACAACAACTGGAACCACTACAAACAGATCTTGTAGCTGTTGGAGTCATATTATTGGCAGTACTGGTGCTTATATAGGAGATGTAATGAGGCACACCCAAAGAAGAGAAGAAGAAAAAAAAAGTGCATATCTTGGTCTACGATCCAAAGGTCTTTATTCATATAAGGGCCTAGTCGTCATTTGCACTCTTCAACCTGGCTTCAATTTATTTCTACTGACTTTGTTCCAACTAATTAAAGAAACCCTAACTTTCTTAGAATGAAAAGCAATTGGAATGTGAACTAATAAAAAGAAGGTGCATTATCACCAAGCTTTTATTATTAGATGCAGTTAACTGCAGTAATTAAACTTTTTATTCAGCATTTAAAGTATGCAAGTTTCAATTAATTTAAACAAGAAGAGAAAATTTCGCTCCTTACCTCCCCACTACTGTACTCAAACTCTAAGCAACTAAACAATACAATTTTCCTCACCAAAACATTTCAGCAAGCCTAGAGAGTAAAAACCAACAAAATGTCACTTTAATTGCCAAAAAAAAAAGAAAAAAAGCTACAATAAATAAAGTCGGTTGTTTCACATTGTAAATTCGTCATTTGTTTTATGAATCACCAAAAAAACAAGTATTAGCATCAACAATTATGTATAAGCCCGCTAACAATTTATATCTTCCAAGAGCAAATAAAACACAACACTTCAATTTCAGGTGTTACATATGACAGATTAGCTTTATGCCTTACTGCAAGAAATCAAAGATGCGACACATAATATGATATTCATGTATTCAGCCATTCAGGAATTAGCAAAAAAATAAATAAAATTATTAATTAAAAAAAAACCAACAAATTAAGACCTTTGCAAGAATTACATGAGCACCTTATTCTGAACAATTCACAAAAAAAAAAAAAAAAAAAAAAAAAAAAGACCTCTTAATTCATTTCATTTATCCTTCACCCCTTACAATCATATACACATAAAACCGAAAATTTCAAATACACCAATTTTCACAAAAGAATGAGAAAAAAACTATATTTATATAATCAATAATTCCAATAGCTATATAATAACCCAAAAGAAAAAGAGAAGTAATGATAGAAAAGATGTCCACTTACCAACTAGGACCAAATTAAGCTTAGCACACTGGCCACCAAAAAAAAGAAAAAAAAAAAAAAAGGAAAATTAGTTCTTCATTGAATAACATTAACAAAAAAAGAAGATAAAAAACAAAAGGGGGGAAAGTGAGTACGTTGTAAATTTGCCAAGCTTTTCCGACGCTAACAGTGACGAAAGTTTCAGTGCCAAGCCTTTGAACAGAGAAAGGAACAGAGCAAGTGATGTAGCCAATTGCTCTCAAGGGTTCAAAAATTCCTTGAGAAAGGGCAGCAGGCCCGTCTCTGAGGTCTGATTTCATCAAGTGCGATGTTGGGTGCGCTTCAATGGCTTCAACTGCGTTTCAGTGGAGAACGTTGAGTGCGCTTCAATGGAGAACTGAGAGACACAGGTAGGGTTGGAGGCCTTGGATTCAATGGGGGATATTTGATTCAATTATCAACTATTAAAACCCATGACCCGCCCGATTATAAATGGGTTAGATCCGTCTATGATAAATCAATAGGGCGAGTTCTATTATCAATCAATCAATTAAACTATATACTAAAAAACACAGTAACACTTTTTTTTTTTTTTTAATTCTCTTTAGGAAACAAATCTTAAAGTTGACAACTATATCACTCAAGTAAAAAATGGGTTTGACCATGATTGAATTGGAAAGCGACGCATACGATGTTGTGTATAACATTGAACAAGCAATTGATGTTTTATTATGAAGATATTAAGCGATTCAAGCATGGTTTTTCTTCTTTTAAGTTTAGTTGTTTCGGGTGTTCTTGGAGTCCCTCGGGAGAGTTACAATACTGAGTATGCGCGCCTGACGTCTGTACCTACAAAACCACGAAACTCCGGTTAGGTGGAGTTCCGCCTCCAACGATCAAGTTCGTATAATTCCAGATGGGTAAACGTGCAGAAAGTAAATGGGTTTTTCTCACTGATTCAGAGAGATTCCGCAATTAATATTGCTCGGGTTTTGTGTATGTATTTATGAATGTCAATAAATGAGGATGATTCCTATATTTATAGCAGATGGGAATCTGCTCCCCCATTGGGGGTTCAATGCCACGTGGCATCCTCTGAATGGATCCCTTTGGGCTTGTATGAGGGTGACATGTGTCAGGCCCTCATTGGGCTACGTGGCAGGGGTACTTTTACCCCAAACATTTGCCCCTCACAGGTGTGACGTGGCTTGCCACGTGGCACCTGTGACACTTGTCACCATGCGGGAAGGCGACGGTTCTTCCTTCCATTTTTTTAATTTGAAGCTGGAGGGGGGAAGGTGACGGTTCACCTTCTGGGATTTCCTATAAATAGGAACCTCCCTCCTCTCATTCCTCACTTTGCCAATATTCAGAGAGAGAATTCATTGAGAGAAAAAGAGAATTCCTGATCCCGGCTGCTCTTTCTTGCAAACAGCCTTCAACTTCACCACATCCGGATACCGGTTGAGTATTTCTTTGCCCGTCTCACTAAGGTATCCTTTTGACCTTGTCAGTTTCTTCATCTTGATTTTTGGTAAAGCTTCAGCCGGTCTTATGCCGTCTGGAGCTTCTTTAAGCAATCTCATGATGTATTGCATCCAATAGACCCACAGCCAGTTTACCCCGTCTGGGGTATCTTCAAGCAATCTCATTGTGAGTTGCATTCAATAGACCCTTAGCCGGTTTACACCGTCTGGGGTATCTTCAAGCAATCTCATTGTGAGTTGCATTCAATAGACCCTCAGCTGGTTTACACCGTCTGGGGTATCTTCAATGAAATTTATCTTTTGAATTGCTTTGTTGACACCTCAGCCGGTCTTATACCATCTGGGGTAGCTCCGTACAATTTTCTTCATAAATTGCCTATAATAGTCCTCAGCCGGTATGGCACCGCCTGGGGGGTCTTTGAACAACTTTCCATAAATACTCCAGACTACTTATTCTGTACAACTTCAGTACTACCACAGCCGGTTTCTTCCGCCTGTGGTATCTTTGGGCAACATTGGTAATTAACCTTGCTTTCTTTTGCCAATTTGCAGTCTGTTCAAAGTGATACCGTCTGGGGTATCTTTGGTCAACAATCTCCAACCTCCTTCGCCAACTTCTTCTTTCAACTACAAGGTAACGCCTCTGCTCCTTGCTTTTTGGAGGTTTTTAAATTTTCCCAGCTGTGTATATTGTTAGAATAATGGGTTCACCCAACACACACACGACACACCACGATTTAGAGGTCAGCCGGTCTCCTGGTACGGCTGAGTCTAGGACCGGGGGTGCCGCCTTTGGGTACTGGGACTCTCCTTATTCATCTCCAAAATCGACTGTCTCTGTCTCTGTGCAGGACGCAATGGCTCGAACTAGGAAAACAGCCGTTGATCCAGAATACAGAGGGGAAACCTCTGAAGAATTGCCGCCTGACTCTAATCAGGCTGAGATGACAAGGAGATCTCCGCATGGCACCCCAAGCACTCCTAGTGATGGAATACTGGGGTTTGATCAGGAAGGCGGTGAAGATGCCGCCTCTCCATCTATGGTTGAAAAGGACCCTTCTGAGAACGCGAGCGGTGAAGATACCGCCTCTTCATCCGGGTCAGAGCAAGGCAGCAGCAGCAGTAGCAGCAGCCTTCTTACGCCGGATGTAGATAGCGAGGAGGAGGAGAGGCCCACATGGAATAATAAGGGCGACCCTTTCCTTATCGCCATCTCTGCCAAAGATAGGGCTAGCATGGCTAGAAACTTAGAGGACTTCATCAAAATACGTCCTCTTGGAGCAGATTGGAAAATCATCATGCCGCCTGAGATGGGCACCATAGTTTGGGAAGATAATCAGCCAAATGCAAACGGATAATTCGGCTGCTACGAGGCGACGTTTCTAGCCGGTCTCCGCTTCCCTTTACACAACACCATCAAGGCCATCCTTCGAGGGTATGGTCTGGGCATTTGACAGTTAACCCCTAATTCTTGGGTTAACATTTTGGGCTACATTGCCGCCTGCAAGATGCAGGAGATTAACCCCGGTTGGGAGGCCTTTGCCCATATGCATTACTTGAGTAGAAGCCCAGGCGAGTGGAGAGCCTGGTATTCGCTGACCACCTACCCTCAGTACCTAATGACCCTGGACAAGTCCTCCAAGTGGTCAGACTGGAAAAACCGGTTTTATTTGGTTTCTGCTCCCACCAAGGAGGAAAACCGAGAGTATAGGACATACAACCGGAAACCAGACCTTCTGGGTCACAAATGTAAAAAGCCTCGTATCTCGGATGAGGATTATGAGAGAATAATAGAGGCGAAGTTTCTTGAACAGACTACAACCGCCCTCTCTAACGGAGAATTAATAAGCGTGCCTAGGAATTGGGTACCAAAGCACGAATTTCTTCGTGATGAGGAGTTTTTGTCCGCCTGTAAACTTAGCACTCAGTTTAAGAAACGTAGGTCACGCTAGTGCTTGATCCTGTTTGCCGTTTGTCAATAATTTATGCTTTAACTATCATTCGGCTAACCGGATGGGTTCTTTTTTGCAGTGCGAGCCTTAGCCATGTTGCCTACTGACAAAACACCGGCTAATTCTGCCGCTAAAATTCGCAAAGCAAATGCGGAGAAGAAACTTGCCGCGCAGGCGGCAAAAAATAAGGTATACTTCTGCTTTTCCTCTCTTTTCCCTTGTTTAACTTCCACTTAACTTTCTTACTGGCTGACTTTTGTGTGTTTGTTATTTCAAGATGGGGGCAAGGTGCCCCGCTCCCTTACAAAGCTAATCAGACCCTGGCCGGGGAGGAGCCGGCTACTCAAAATAAGGCGAGGAAGACCTCCTCCCAAACAGTTCCCAGCCGGCTGACAGTTGGGGGGAAAACTGTCAAAAATACAGGCCTGGGGTTCGATTTTTCCTACAGGCAACCGGATGTCCTAGAGGCATCCAAGGGGGCGGCGCCGCCTAGGGCAGCAGGCGCCTCAGTACCGGCTGAGGGTAGTCATGACCCTCACCCTATATCACAAGGTACAATAGATCCCTTCAACCCTTCTTTGCTTGGCAAGCCCATGAGGGTCAAGTCGCACTCCCAGCTCCAGCCAGAAGACTCTTTTGGCAGCCGGCAATCCGTAGGAGGGAATTATGTTGCTTTCTCACCATCTCTTTCTGGTGCAGATCTCTCCCCTCGCTGGCCGGATGTACAGCAGTACGCCCGGGCCATGCTGAAGGCCATTCCTAGAGAGGAGAAGGAGGCGATCCTAAGGATCAATACCTTCAATGTTGACCGGGTCATGGTCAGCCTAGCTGAGGTATGAATTCCTTCAACTGAATATTTCCATGATATTGTACCATTTGACTCTTCTAATACCGTTTGGATCTTTGCAGTCAATGCTTCGCGTGGAAGGGCTCAAGAAGGCATACACCCGCAAGTAAGAGGAGGTAAGACAGGTTAAACGAGATGCGTCCAATGCTCATAACGTTGCCCAATATTCCATGATTATGCATGAATTAAAAACTAAAGGCATAATCATGCAACAGGCGGATTCCATCAAAACTCTTCAGAAATCCCTCAATGAAGACCATACCAAGATTTACAACCTCCAGGCGGAGAAGGAAAATGCTGAAGCGGAGGTGAAGAAGGCGTCGAATTCTCTTAAACTCCTGGAACTAACCAGGAAGGAGAATTCTTCGCTGCTGACTGAGAACGTCTGCCTGAAGAAGGAGGCGGCTTCAGCTAGTCAGAACTTCCAAACCACCCTGGAAGCAGAACAGAGCCGGCTCATTGAGGAGAATGAGTAATATTGCGCCAACCGTATGCATATGGCTTGGTCCCTGGTACATCCGGACACGGAATATGCCGTCTGGGAGCTTGCTTACAAGTACGCTGATCTTGCCATTAAGGCCCAAGAGTCGAACCAGCCGACTTTGGAGCCTTATGAGGAGTGGGCGCAGAAGCAGATCGAAGCCATGCAGGCGGAGATCGGCTCAGACGGAGGGGATGAGCCCCAAACTGAAGCACAAGGAGAGATTGCCCCCCTTCCCGCCTCGGAGGCCGCCTCCAAGGACCCAGCTCAGCCTTAAGCTTTTATATTATTCAACTTTTTCAGCCTGTGTGCCGTGTATTTCATGTCACTTTCTCCGAACAGGGGTCCATCTAACATTTGAACAAATTTATTTTTATATATATATATGTCGATTGGGTTGGTTTGCTTTGTCACTTCATTTTTGCAATTTTTAAATTTCTGCAATTCTTTAATTTTTACATGAAATCTTGGAGAATTCCAGATGCATTTCCTCTGCCTGCCCCTGGATGGTTGCTTGCTTAAAGTTACCAACTCTAAGCAGGCAGCCGTCCATAAGCATCCGGTCGGACGAGTTTGAGGTCCTTGACCATTTTTCAACAGGATTGCCAGCTGTGCCGGCTAAGCCTGCCCGACTAAATACAGGCGACCTAGGATCGGATGTATGCTTTTTTAAACCTTTGCTAGGTATGAGACAAGGTTCTGGCCTTGTTACTAACATCGTTGCCGGCTGCAGCGCTTTCTTGCAAAAGCCGGTTGCGCATTGAAGTATAGATTGCCACCTGTATTGCCTTGAGGCAATAGCCAGGCGG